TACATTAAACTACATAAAATCTACAATTGAAATCGCCCTACCCGAAGCAATTTCGGCAAATTTGCCAAGATTTGAATATTCATCTCTTTTCTCAGCTGTTTCTTATTTGTATTGTTTTATGGTTATTTATTTCATTCAATGATTTGGTTTATTTCCTTAGTCAAATTATAGTTACAATTCGATCTGTCACTATTTCCGTTCTCTATGAAAATAAGGTAAGACAAATCTGAATGACGACGTTGTTTGTGATCTAATGTGCAAAACACCTACTCTGTTCTGTTGTTTGTTTACATATTTTTCTTATATTGTAAACAAAGCAATACGTGTATCAATCAGCTCAATCTTCGCCATACCAAACAATTTTTGGCTAAAGCAAACGCAACCAAGCTTGAACATGCCGTCCTTATGAGGAGAGTATACTGTTTTTTTTATTTATTTTCCACTTTTTTACTTTTCCGTACACACCGTGTCAAGGGAAAGTATAGGAATTGGTCCCGAAAACTTTTTTCCATAAAATTAGCTTAGATCATCATAAAAGCTCATGAAACGCGTAGAAAACTACTTTTTGAGACACCTTTCCATTCGTGTGCCGTCGTCGTTGCCGTTATCGTCGTCGTCGTTGTCGTTGTTGGTGTTTGTTAACACGATAACTCAAAAAATAATTGAGATAATCAAAATCTGGAAATGCCAAAAGTTTTGTATCCAACAAACTTGGTTTAAGTTTGAAGATGAGCCATTTTCTATTTGACCCTGGGGTACAAAACGGAGAAATACTTGATGTATTTTGTTGACGATTGAAGCAAAGTATATCAATAGCGCCGCCTTACATGATGCAACATTGGATGCGACGTTCGAACGAATCAACACCTCTGTGTACAACGCACACATAGACTCTTTGCATTCACACGAACGTACACACAAAGACTTTACTTTCACACGTACGTATAGTTACAGAGATTTGTGGTTGGTGGCGCTCCCAACAAAGTTTCCACAGCAGTTCTAAACGTCAAACATTGCTATAGCATATGAGCTAGATAGTTTTGCTGGGGTACTTGCCCTGAGAAAAACCGAAAAAATTTAACACTTTTGTATGGGAGGTACCTGTAAATCGATTCTGATTGGTTTCAAACTTTCTGGAATTTCATTTTTGGGAAAAAAAAGATTCTGAAAGTTTTAAGCCAATCGGAGTCGATTTACGCATCCCTCCCATACAAAATTTTCGAAATTTCGACTAGAATGACCGATTTTTCGGCAATTTTGTATGGGAGGTACCCGTAAATCGATTCCGATTAGCTTCAAACTTTCAGAGGTTACATTTTCTGGAGAAAAAATAGGATTCTGAAAGTTTCATGTTGATCTACATTTGCAGAAGTTTGATTTTTGGTCTTCAATTTTTTTCGAAATTTTTTTGGGAAAAATTGAGGGCCAAAAACCGAACTTTTGACAATGCGATCAGCATGAGTCTTTTACAATCTCATTTTTTCGCCAAAAAATGAAACCCCAGACAGTTTTGAGCTAATCGGAGTCGATTTATGGGTACCTTCCATACAAAATTGTCGAAGTTTTAACTGAAGTGACCGATTTTTTACTAGAAAACAGAGTTTGACTTATCCGTCAGATATATGCTATGGCATAAAAAAAATATGCGCATATTTTTTGGTACTTTGAATTTTGTGACTAACTTACCATGTAAATTCATGTGCATTCCACGATTTTTTGTGGATTTCACGATTTTTTGTCCCAAATTCGTGGTATCCATATGAATTTACATGGTAAGTTAGTCACAAAATCCAAATGTACCGAAAAAAATGTGCGCATATTTTTTTTATGCCATAGCATATATCAGGCGGATAAGTCAAACTCTGCTAGAAAACTGCCTTTATTCAAGAAACTTCACAAAAAATAACCAAAAGTGCTGACAACGGAAAAGTTCGGGATTACGAATGTAATTCTTTTTATTTAACAAACAATTGCCACTCACATGTGCCACGTTTGTTAGCCATGTGTTTATTTCTTAAGTTCTAAAGTACAGATTAACATTTTGCCGTAACACATTAATATTGTAACGAAGAGCCAAAGAAATGCTATTACAATTGTAATGCCAAAATTTAGCATTACCGGTAATGTGTTACAATTGTAATAGCTATTACTTGGACTGTCCGTTACAATATTAACACGTTACCCAACATTAACGGTAATGTCAGAAATCTAACATTATTAATGTGATTTTATAGCATTAATAATGTGATTTTCTAACATTACACACGCAATGTAATGCCAAATGTAACATGTTACGTGGCATTACATTGCGTGTGTAATGTTAGAAAATCACATTAATAATGTTAGATTTCTGACATTACCGTTAATGTTAGGTAGCATGTTAATATTGTAACGGACGGGTCAAGTAATAGCTATTATAATTGTAATGCCAAAATTTAGCATTACCGATAATGTGTTACAATTGTAATGCCAATCGTTTGGCATTACCGGTAATAGCTATTACAATTGTAATAACATTACAGGAAATTTTTGTTAACGTAATGCTACTACCTATTACATTTTTAATGCCGGTAAATCTGTATTCTAAAGAACAAAAATATTTTTTCGTTGTTTTGAAAAACAAACTAAGCAGAATAAATCGATCTAACAACTGAAAACATATCCCAAAATAGCCAAAATTTCAATATTTGCGTGTGAAAATCTGTTTTAAATTTGCCCAATTGAATGCGTCAAATAGTTCAAAATATTTGTCGAATTTCGCAACATTTTGTTTGCTCATTTTAAATTTCTGGTTGGATTTGTCGGTAGAAATTGTGTATAAAAGACGATCGAATCGATGAGAAAATCATTCGAATTGTCAGCTTCATCTAAGAGAGGTCAATTGAAAGCTAAATCAAAATGAAATTCATCATTATTGCTGTTTTATTCGCTGGAGCCTGTGTTGCTCTTCCACAACTCGAAAGTGTTTCGAATGCAGCAAGTGGTTTATTAGGTACTGCTTCCGGAGCTGCCGATACTGCATCAGGTGTTGCTACAGGAGCTTGCAATCAAGTCAAACAGCTTCTCCCACAACTTAACGTCATTTCAAATTTAATCACACAAGTTACCTCCGCTGTCAGTAAGTACAATTCAACTGTAGTTTAAAAAACGTAGAACAAATTTCAAAGATACTATTCAAAATATTTCATGAGAACTTTCTAGATGGTGGTACCGGAAACGTTTGTGCCTTATTTTCAAAACTTCTTCAAAGCTTATTGCGTCTTGTCACATCAATTCCAGGTAGACTTCTTGGCAGTAAGTATTTGAAGGATAATTGATGTGTGAAATGAGTGCCTAGCTGAAATCGTTCTCTTGGATCTTCCAGGCTTAGGTGGTCTCGGCAATCTCAGTAGTCTTACTAACGTTGGTGGGGGTGTTGTCCAAGGTGGTACAGGCGCCGCTGGTCAAGTCGCAGGTCTTTTCGGTAATCTTTTAAAGGCTGGTACAAGTGCTTTAGGTGGTGCTCCTAACAGTGCTACAAGTCTCTCTGGTCCAGCCGCCAATGTTGGTTCCGGATCTGAAGGAAGTCTCCTCGGTAATTCCGGTGGTCTCCGTGGTCTTAATCTACCTGGCGTCAGTTTATCATCCTCTGCTGGTGCTTCGGCCAACGCCAACGCTTAAATGGAAACAAATCAACACTATTTTTGAATATCTTGCACAAC